GTTTGCTGCTCGGCTGGACCATACTTGCCTGTTAGGAAAAGAGAGTGCTTTATCTAATTCTCATTTAATGTTAATAACTATGAGTGATATTGACATGTCATACATTTTAGGGCTATTTGCATTTCTTTTCTGTGAACTTTTTCTGACCTGTATCATTGTCTTCTATTGGGTTGTTGGTCTTTTTTAGGCATGTCTTAGGAAACTAATTTAAAATATATTTGGCTACGTTTTAAAAATGTAAAATAACTCTACCTAAGCCCTACTTATGAAAACTTTGAATTTTTAACACTAAAAATAGTGTTTTTGAAGGAGGTGTCAAGCAACTTCATTATAACACTGTTGCTGAGCTGAGTGTGAGACCCCTAGCTCACCAAGAAAGTGTTCAGTTATGCGGACCTGAGCAGAACAGCTTTTAAAAAGCTTGGTCCAGAGACACAATGAAGCTTTGACCTAGTAGAGTAAATGTTTTACTTTCTCTTAATACCCATGTATTTGCAAAACAGAACCACATAGTACAAACACGTGGCTGCAGTCAGTGGAACGTTGTGTGGGTCTCACCAGCTCCGGTGCCCTCTGCTGCCTTGACCGCCTGATGCTGTGTACCCAAAGCACCCTGTGTGAAGGTTTGGCCCCTCACATCAGCAGGCAAACACAGGGAGACTTTATGACGCTGGAACTTAAAAATCACTGTTCCTTGGGCAGCTGTTAGTAGCTGCATTTTAACTCAAGAAGAGCTTAGTAAATGCTGTAAATTCTACTTTATCAAAGCAGAAACAAAGCTTCAACATTCTCTTAGAACAGTTAACCATATCCTTCCTTCTGAACCAAAGTTGCCACTGTCAATGACTGTCCAAACTTCTTCTCAACGTCTGACATCTCTAAAAACAAGTTTATTTGCATGAATGTTATAACATTCTAAGGGGCTTTCTTGGGAAAAACAGTGCTTTAATTATTTGGACTTCTAATAGAAAAAGCACTCCAATTTATTGTGAAAAATCATGCCAAATTTAATGGCAATCATTTTGGTAATGGAAAAAAGTCGTATAGCATTTCAGCATTTTCTTATGAAGATAACTATTATCAAATGTATCAAAAAAGGTAGATTTTCCCAGAATAAGGTTAATTCCACCCAGTTGCTGAATATTCAAGGTTTATTTTTTTCCCCCTCTCTGTGTCCACAGCTTCCAGCCAGACGCTTGTTCTTTTGCTTGATTGCACGTTCTAATTGTCCGCACAGGAAAGAAACCAGAGTGGAGGCTGACCACCTCCTAATGAATGCTTATCTATCCTGCTTCACAGCGATCTGAATCAGGTTTGAAATTGAGGCCCTAGTTCCTCACCCTTCCTGGTTACAAATGCCACAGGGGTTCGTTTCCGTGCCGTCATGTATTTGAGCCCTGTGCGGCACATGTGCACTGATGACTTCCGTGCCAGGGAGGGCTTGACGCTCAAGACAGCAAAGTGCAGGTTACAGGCAGGCTTCCAGGGACAGCAGAGGAATCTTTAAGGGCTTCTGAAACATCAGCAGGTGCCCAAGAAAGAGGACGGCATCCACGGGGACTGCAGGACAGGCAGGAACGCGTGGCTGCAGCATTGCAGGGATCCGCCCCCCGTACCAGCCCTTCCTCATCCGTTCTGCCTTGATCCTCTCTTTTCTCTCCCCAGCATGTCCAAGTGTTTGTCCGAAACCCTTTTCCCTGGTGTGACCTTTCCCAGTTCTCCTTTCCCGTGAGCAGAAGCTCCATAGATTGGATCTCACTTTGAGGCTTCTTCCTACCTGGAGGGTTCACCCAGGTGTGTGCCTCGGCTACCAACTCTAAGCTATTGATTCTGGTGTCAGCAATCCTGTCGCTTACCAGCCCCGAAAGCCTGTTGGATGTTCCATTCCAGTGCTGAGCTCTCACCTGAACTCCACACATGAAAGCCAGTGTAGACACTTGAACAATCTTTGGGCGCCCAGCATTGACTCCCATCAGAAAGGCAGGCAGTGGATGGGGGACATGGACCTTGACGCTCAGAGGCTCACAGACCAGCAGGGAATTCAGGGATTAAGCAAAGGGTCACACAGCGATTATTCTGATTATGAAACTTGAAAGTAAAAGGTGCAGGGACCTAACCTCCCTCGGCCATTTTAGAAAGGCTTCGGGAGGAGCAAATATTTTGGGTCTTCAGAGTTTGTGTGTGAGAATGCCTCTTTTTTACACTCTTTTGATAAATCTCAGGATTCTTTAGGCCTGCTTTTCTGGGTTGACTCCTGTTTATTTTTTTGAAAGTATGATTTAGCTCCATTTTTCCCTGATCTTTTTATTTATTTAAGATTATTATTTATGTAGAAGGCAGAGTTGGAGGGGAAGAGAGAGAAATTTTCCATCTGCTGGTTCACTCCCCAGAAGTGTGTTGCCTGTGCAACAGCCAGGGCTGGGCCAGGCCAAAGCCAGGAGCCAGCAGTTTCTTCTGGTCTCCCACCTGGTTGGCACAGGCCCAAGCACTTGGGCTGTCCTCTGCTGCTTTTCCCAGGCCATTCGCAGGGAGCTGGATCAGAAGTGGAGCAGCCAGGACACTAACTGGTGGCTTTACTTTCTATGCCACAATGCTGGCCTCCTGGATTCAGTCTTGCAAATGGATTTTGTTTACCAGCCTTGAAAATTCAAACCCTCTGAATTAGCAGGGTAGTGAAACATGACTTAGAAGAAATCCAATTTTGGAGACTGAAAACATTCACAAAATTCAATCTTGTTCTTAGAAACCATGAAAAAAAATGTACTTGACAAATGCTTATTTTAGGACCTTTTCAAAGATGTCTTGCTTTTAAGGCACACGATTCCTTCCAGCCAGGGTCATGATATGGGTCAATTGTGGATAATCAGGGTTGATAACTCTGCAAAGCAGCGTTCTCTGGATTAGATATGATACACTTCCATCTTGGTGGCTGCTGCACACATAAATTGGCCTTTTGGATCCACTATTTAATACAATCAGGACATTTATTGGACATTTCCTTGAGGAAATAGCAGTGTAGCTAGTTCACGAGGGCTGAGTCTGGCCAAGGAAAAATGAAGTGGAGAAGTTCAGTTTAGAAGTTTTGAGGAGGGGAGGTGCAGGGTAGGTTAGGGTAGTTCAAGGGAGACACATAGCTGAATTACAGCGCAGGTAAACGCTTTACTCTCATGGAACCCAGCAGGAATTTTAAGTTACTGCTTGGCAGGTAAGTGGCACTTTGAATGCTACTCTGGGAAGCTTACTTGGGGAAAATAGAGCCAGAATGTTTAAACTATCATCACCAAATTATTACCATCACCTTAATGATCTTTGCTATTCTCATCTTCAATGCTAAGTGCTGAATGAATTATATGCACAGTCTTTCACTTTTGCAAATTATGCACCAAAAACAACATTACATTTTACAGATGAGAATGCTAAGGCTCACTTTCCCTCTCGGGACTTGTAGGCTGGTTCCCACAAACAGAGTGGGAGAAGGAATACTGTGCCATCGACACGTGGTGACCGAGAGCGTGCCGTTAGCATTCACAGCTCAACCATGGAGCGGGGTTCAAGTGGAGGTGGGGAAATTTGTCACGAAGGAGATGGCGGTTGGCTATGTGACAGGCGAGCTGCCTGGGCCAAAGGCCTGAGGAGTGTCCCATGCCACACCCACGTGAAACTGTGCAGACAGCGTAGTGAGGGTGAAGATTCACCAACACACTGTGCACTTTGGCTGCCTATGTCCCTGTCACCGTTTTTGCAAATCCGCACACACTGTGGGGCACATCAGCTTCTGATGAAAGCTGTACACCTGCCTGTGTGTCTGGTTTCCCTCTCCTGGCTGCAACACGACGCACAGTTGCGTCTGCAAGCAGCGCCCGCTTATGGGATCACTGGGACAGCTCTCCCTGTACAGGAAGCCCACGTGCCCTTCTCCCGCCCCTTAGCGTCTGCTTCTTCGCACCAGGTCTAAGTGGGCTTGAAATGGGAAGAATGATGTCAGTGCTCTCACGTGCTGCAGTTAATTCTTAAAGTTTTCCAGAAAACATGCGTGTCTCAATGGCCATTGACTGCTTTTCACATTTTAATATCCAAATCTAAAATTATGGAATCAGTAGCACCATAGATTTAATGTAATAACGCAGCGGGGTAATCTTTTTAAAGAGATTCCTGAGGTGCGGTGGTGTCTGCACAGTCTTCATGGGGGCAACGTCTAGTCTGGAACCTGCAGCATGTGCAAGCGTTAGCTAGGAGGCAGAGAGGGGCATTTCGGGTAAGGAGAAGGGCATGCGTGTTTGACAGGACTTGACAAGATCAGGCTACTTTTTGTCGCATGCCTTCTAGCTGTGGAATGAGGAGAGGACTGGAGGATGATAGCACTGGAGACGGGGGCTGGGAGGTTGTTGCACTGGCTTAGGAGAGAGATGACAAAGCTGGACTAGTGCTAGACCAAGGAAAAGAAAGGCTGAGAAGGTTCCCGGGACACTGAGGCAGTGGGACCGATGGTCAGCACCGCCCACCAGAGCTTGAGAGGTCGGGGACGTGCTCCGTGATCTGCTGTCTTCCACGGCAGCCTTACACCGCGCACGGGCAGCGAGCACAGATGGCGCATGTTGCCCCACGCTCTGCTGGACGGTGTGCAGCTGTGGTATTCGTTGCCTTATTTCCCCTCCGTTGTAAGATCTTTTCAGCTCAGTCTACCCAAATCTGCCTTGACTCCGGTGACCTGGGTGTTCCTGAACTGGGGAGACGTTGTCTGTTTTTACCTCTTGCAAATGGCAAGTCCCTTCTTTCTAGGAAAGTCTTAATGACCATTCTTCTTTACTGGTAGGTCTTTCTTCGAGTGTCATTCACATCAGTGGCTGCCACGTTATTGCCTGGTGATTTGATGCTGATTTCTTGTTCCTCTCTATTTTGTTGTTGGGTTTTAATTTATTTTTCATTTTATTTGAAAGGCAGAGAGAGAGAGAGAGAGAGAGAGAGAGTGTCTGATCCCATCTGTTGGTTTACTCCCCAAGTGTCTGCAGCAGCCAGGACTGGGCCAGGCCGAAGCTGGAAGCCAGGAGCTGAAAACTCCATCTCATCTCCCACATGGATGGCAGGGACCAAAGCTCTTCAGTCATCACCTGCTGTCTCCCAGGAAGCTGGAGTCAGGAGCAGAGCTGGGCCTGGAACCAGGCACTCTGAAGTGGGACGAGGTGTTCCACGTGGTGTCGCCCACTGAGCCGTGGGCCTGCTCCCTTTTTCTGTTTTGCCGTGTGAAGTTATCGTGTCTCTAACTGGGTCAGTGAAGCTGAGTCTCACGCTGAACTCCAATGCTGCAGTACAAGAAGGCTGTTCTTCAGATGGGCTGTGCCTTACACCTCCCTGTCCAGCATGTAACTCACGCAGCAATTCTTGAAGACAAATCCTTGGTCATGACTGTAATCCTACTCATTACAATACATGGGATGAAATTTCTGGTTCCTTACCTAGATTATTTTCTCCTACAGGAAGAGCCTAAAGTAACAGAAAATTAGATCAATTTTTTTTTTTAAATGAGGGAGACACATTTAATTGTGTCTATTCTTTTAAGTGAGTAGTCTCCGAACATGGCCTGCCCTTAGTCCCTTCCCTCTCTATTGTCAGCACTGCTCACCTTCAAGTCTACTCGGGCAACGCCGCCCCTCCCCTCCCCGCCACCATGTTGGTCTGGCCTGGTGACTCAGCCTGGCACACAGAAATCAGCTGGAGTGACACGGCACCGGCTCCAGGCCTGGCCCTGCAGAGGCGAGGCAGCCGCGTGCTGTGTCGAAGCCCAGGAGAGGCTCGTAAGGGAGGGGAGCAGCCATGCGGGGAGGGACTTGGGGGGACGGGAACCAAGCTTCTTGGGGTCCCCAGTGCAGCCAGCTCCCAGCTGAAGGCAGTCACGTGTGTGGCCCCGACTGACATGAGCAGAGCAGAGCTGCCTGGCCACCCACTGCCCTCATTCCTGCCCCAGGGAACCCTGGGAAATAGTAAAGTCACTGTTCTACATGGCTTGTTACGCAGCACAGAAAACTGAAATGCTGTCATTAAAGAAGTGTAGAAAGATAGCCAGCCACGGTTTGGTGAATCCCTGGATCTGCCCTCCCTCTGACTCCCACAGTGCTGGCTTTTGTTCTTACTCAAGTTGATTGACACTGTGAGAGCAGGAAACCAACTGTTGGCCCAACCTTCCTGGGAACTTCAAAGCATCATTGGAAGTAAGTTCCTGCACGTGCTTAATTAGGTGTGAAATTCTGACATTTAAAGAGTCCAGTATTCTAAATATTTTTTGAAGTATGACATGTACTTACTAAAAGTAGGAAAAATTTCTACGTGCTCATAGGATTGCCTAAATAACCACACATAATCCCTAAGAAAGGTGTTCCTTGATTAAAGTATTAGATTAATAGATTAACATTAGGCACCCACTTATTTATAACATAGCTTATTTTTTACATTATATGTAACATTTCAAAATTGATTTTAGAAATGACATTTTTCTTTTTTTAAATTTTTTAACTTTTATTTAATGAATATAAATTTCCAAAGTACAGCTTATGGATTACAATGGCTTCCCCCCCATAACTTCCCTCCCACCCGCACCCCTCCCATCTCCCGCTCCCTCTCCCATTCCATTCACATCAAGATTCATTTTCAATTATCTTTATATACAGAAGATCGATTTAGTATATATTAAATAAAGATTTCATCAGTTTGCACCCACACAGAACATAAAGTGTAAAATACTGTTTGAGTACTAGTTATAGCATTAATTCACATTGGACAACACATTAAGGACAGAGATCCCACATGAGAAGTAAGTACACAGTGACTCCTGTTGTTGACTTAACAATTTGACACCCTTGTTTATGGTGTCAGTAATCTCCCTAGGCTCTAGAAAAATTTTAAAAATGACATTTTTCTATAGTAGCCATTGGGAAGGTGACAACGTGCAAGCATAGTGAGATATTGGTCTCATTGAGTTAGATAGGTAACATTAAGCTGAAAGCAGCAGTGATCCTGTTTTCATGTCTAGAGTGACTGAATTACCTGCAGATTTAATTCACTTTGCAGATGGTGATTAGGTCAGAGACCATCCTCAAACACCTAGCCCATTCTTCGTTAGTATGCAAGTTTATTTTATTTTAAGCTGTGCCTTCCTGGGCGTGTCAAGTGGTGAAACTGCTTATGCAGCTGTCCCCAGGGGTTAAGAGATGACATAGCTGTGTGTTTTCAAAAATTTCCTGAGGACATTGCAAAGGTGATCCTATGATAATGCTGGCATTTCTGGGCTTATCTTGGCACGGAATAATTGTTGGGTCCAACAGAGCAAGTTTCCACTGATGGAGCCATAGCTGGGCAGACCGCCCAGACCAGCTGCCTTCAGGTCTTTGTGAGCTCAGACACTTTCCAGGCGAGGTAGATGAGCGCCATCCTTCTCCTCTGAGGACAGACTCTGTGGGCACAGCTGGTTCTGCGGAGTCTGCTCCCTGCTTTCTGCTCTCTTAGTTTTATCGTGGTCACAGCAGCCTGTGTTGGTTGGTTTGGGTCTTCTCTCAATACCCTTTTCTCATTAGCCTCTTTTTTTACTCTGCTATATTGTAAATAACTGCTGCTTTTTTTAAGATTTATTTATTGATTTTAGAGGCAGAGTTACAGACAGAGAGAGGGAGAGACAGAGAGGTCTTCCATCCACTGATTCACTTCCCAAATGGCTGGAGTTGTGTCGGTCTGAAGCCAGGAGCCAGGAGCTTCTTCCAGGACTCCCACATGGGTACAGGGGCCTAAGGACTTGGACCATCTTCCACTGCTTTCCCAGACCATTGGCAGAGAGCTGGATTGGGCGTGGAGCAGCCAGGACTCAAACCACCACCGGTATGGAATGCCATTGACTCAGGTGGAGACTTAATCTACTGTGCCACAGTGCCAGCCCCAAAATAACCGCTTCTCAAGATAATGGATACAGACAATTTAATATGCACCTGAGGTCTTCTCTGATCGTGAAATAATAAAATCTGAGAAATGAAAAAACTCAGTGGTTCAGTAAGAGTAATCTAAATCATGCATTCCTTGCCAGCTGTACTTCCTCTTGAGAATTGTTGTCTCCTGGATCTACAGTCATGCCTGGCACATAGTAGATGTTCAGCTAATGTTGACTGAACCACTGACCCAATGGCTTATTACCAAGTTTAGTAAATGTGATTTATTTTGATTTTTAACACAATCTAAGGTCATTTATATTGTTAATTTGAAAAATGGTGAATACAGACTTTTTATTTAAAAATTCCTCCAAATCTAGACATGTTAAAGATCCAAGATACAGAGTATTTATATGATATGAAACTAAAAAAAAAATTGCAGTTTCTTATGCATTTTGCTGACTATCTTAACAAAGTTTCAGTGCACTTTAAAAGTTTCAGCATTCAAGGCTAACGTCGATATGATGAACTTGAAAAAACAGCAGAATGAAAATAATTAATGTTATCCTCATGTACTGGTTTTCTTAGGGGTGCAATAACAAATTACCCAAACTGCATGTAAAACAACAGAAGTGTCTCCTCTCACAGCTTCGTTGGCCAGGAGTCTGAAATCAAGGCTCCACAGGGCCGCGCTTCCCCAGAGTCTCCAGGGGAGACTGTCCCTGGTCTCTCCCACATTTCTGTGGCTTCCACCCTTCTTTGCTATCCCTTTGTGTGTGTAGCACAACTCCCATCCCTGCCTCTGTCTTCATGTGGCTTTCCCTGTGTGTCTGTGTCTCTCCACATTTCTCTCTCCTTAGGATACCAATCCATCACAGATACTAGAGAAAACCTAAACAAAGAGAAAGATATACAGTGTTCATGGATGAGAAGACTAATGGTGACGGATGCCACTTCTCCTCCATTTGGTCTCTGAAATTCAAATGGCCAACAGACACAGGAAAAGGTGCTCAGGATCACTGGCCATCAGAGAAAACACATAAAAACCACAGTGTGATTTCATTTCATCCCAGTTACAATGACTGTCAACAAGTAACAAATGCTGGTGAGGATGTGGCGAAACAGGTACCCTAATCCACCGTTGATGGGGATGTACACTACTACAACCATTATGGGAGATAGTACGGCGATTCCTCAGAAATCTGAAACTAGATCTGCCATATGCTCCAGCCATCCCATTCCTGGGAATTTACCCAAAGGAAATGACATCAGCATACGAAATAGTTATCTGTGCCTCCATGTTTATTGCAGTTCAATTCACAATAGCTAAGATATGGAATCAACCCAGATGTCCCTCAATTCATGAGCAGATAATGAGATGCAGGTATATATTCACAATGGAATACTACTCAGCCATAAAAATGAATGAAATTCTGTCTTTTTTTAACAAAATGGATGCAATTGGAGACCACTATACTTACTGAAATAAGCCAGTCCCCAAAAGTCAACTATCAAATTTTTTCTCTGATTTGTAGTACCTAACACAGAGTACAAGCAAAAGTAATGTATATGAGTGAAACTGACATTTTGATGTTTGATTATTGGTTTATAGCCCTTGGAGCATATATAGAGCATAGGTGATAGTAAAAAATAAAAATAAGACCAGTGTTGTAGCGTAGTGGGTTCAGCCACAGCATGCAACACCAACATTCCATACGGGTGCTGGTTAATGTCCTTTGTGCTCCACTTTTGATCCAGCTCCCTGCTAATGACCTAGAAAATGCAGTAGAAGATGGCCCAAGTGCTTGGGCCCCTGCACCTGCATGGGAGATCCAGAAGAAGCTCCTGGCTGTTGGCTTTGGCCTGGCAAAGCCCCAGCCACTGCAGTCATTTGGGGAGTGAACCAGTGGACAGAAGATATCTATCTTTCTTTCTCTCTAACTCTGCCTTTCAAATAAATTAAAATATGTAAATCAGTAAATTTACATAGAAATATAGGATTTAAAATGGCAAATCAACCTGGAAAAAGATCATAATTGGCAAGGTTCCACCACCATACTGCACTAATCAAGACTCTCTGGTATTGGTTTAAGAAAAACAAATAGATCAGTGAATAGGATAGACTCCCAAAGCAGACTCCTGTACAGGGTGAGCTGATGTTTGACAAAGGTTGCAAAGACTTCACTGAAGAAAAGCTGACTTTTTAACATACAGTGCTGGAAAAATTAGACATTGATGTGTAATACAGAGGACTTTGAGGGAAAAAAACACAAAATAAGTCATAGACTTAAATGTAAAAGCTGAAACTTTAAAATTCCTAGAATAAAACATTAAAGATGATTTTATGTCCTTAGATTATATAATATAAACATTAAGATCCATAGTTGGTAAAGTTGAGGAACTAGATTAATCAAAATTGGAAACTTATGTCTGAACACAAGTCACACAGAAAAAAATTTGATAAACTGGATGTGATAAGGAACTTGTTTATGAAATATATTAAGAACTTAAAACTCAGAAGAAACTAACAGTAAGAAAGCAAAAAAATCTGGACCAACACTTCACCAAAGAAGATAGACACACAGCAAGCAGGCACATGGAACTATCTTTAATATGCTCCATCAGTAAAGCACAGGGAGACACTATTACCGCCTCTTAGATGTGCTAGCACTTTAAAGAGTAACAACAATAAGTACTGGCAGGCGTCTGGAGCAGTTTGAACTCTGATAACTGCAGTGGGGAAATTAGAAACAGTTTAGTAGCTCCTTCCA